TTTTTTTTTTTTTTTTTTTTTTTTTTTTTTTTTTTTTTTTTTTTTTTTTTTTTCTCGGTTTCTAAGCTCGCCATTTTTGTACATAATAGTTGTAAGAACGCTCGACTTGTTCTATTTTAATATGTGTACTTTTTACCGTATGAATGAGGGTGACTAATCAAAGTGAGACCTGTTCAACTTGCTTTCCATAAATTTTTAAATTAGTCCCGATGGTCGAAGTTTATAGTTTCAAGCCTTAGAAAGTCAAAAAAAAGTTCAACCCTTATAAGGAATGCTTTGTTGGCACACTGCCGATGTCTAGCTCTGATACTATGTGTAACATTTCAAGCCCACCGCTAGCAGATATTGTCTTCTTTGGACAAGAGAGTTTCCCTCAATGTTTCAAAGCCCATTTGCTAGGGAGAGACTTCGACACCCTTTATAAGGAATGTTTCGTTATCCTCTCTAACCGATGTGGGATTTCATAATCCACCCCATTGGTGCCCAACGTTCTCGTTGGCACACCACATGTTGTTTGGCTCTGATACCATTTTTAACGCCCTAAGCCCACCGTTAGCAGATGTTGTCCTCTTTGGACTTTCTTCTCAAGGGCTTCCCCTCAAAGTTTTAAAACGCGTCTACTAGGGAGAGGTTTCCACACTCTTATAAGAAATGCTTCATTTTACTCTCAAACCGATGTGAGATCTCACAATCTACCTCTAGGGGGCTAGCGTCCTCGCTGGCACACCATTCGATGTCTAGCTTTGATACTACTTGCATATACTCAACCCTGTTGCTTCAATTTTCTTTTCAGGTGGAGCTTGATGTAGGTCGAGGCAGAGACACACGTGGGCTGTTGGCTATAGGGAGTTCCACGGTTTGGAGTTCCTTTTGTACGTACCTTTAATTCCGTATTTCATGTATTTTAAATAGTTTGAGATAAAATGTGAAATTAAGTAATTTTATTAATTTAGTATTTTAAGCAACAATTATATCACTTTAGAAACCTTAAAAAGTAAATAGAAAATAAATTCATTTTATTAGTACAAAACATGTATTTATGGAAATTCTATTGAAAATTTATTAATTTTCGAGTTCCAAACGCCGTGGGGTTGGAATTAGAAGATATATGACGATCACCGGCTCTGGTCGTGTGATGGCCATTTAACGCCGACACCGGCGCCTCCTCTCCAGTCACTAATATCCCACCCTCATCGTGAATATTATCGCCGTTCACCGATTCCACCGTGGCACAAGGCCGATTTCACCGACTCTGCTGCTGCTTCGAAACCTAGCTCCCGAGGTTTATCCTTCAGTAAATCCATCACTCTAGCTAAAACCCTGCACAGATTTTCTGAATTCCAAAACCCTAGAATCCCCTTCCTCCGGCGCTTACGTTAAGGTTTTCGGCCACTTACAATGCCGAAGGTATATGGAACTGGTGTTTATGATTTCAAGCGTCACAGAGTGGCGGAGTACCCTGTTGAGTCCAACCAAGTCGACGATAAGCTTGTGGAGTCGAAGCCTGGTGCGACACTGCCTAACACGATAACGCTATCGGAGATACAGCGAGACCGGCTGACGAAGATTGCGGCGGAGAACTGGTCGAAAGTGAGGGATCCTTCGAAGCCGAAGGAGCCTTTTGATCCAGAATTGGTAAAGAAGATTTATGAGACGGAGCTTTCGATTAAGGAGGGGCGGAAGACCGTGCCTCTACAGAGGGTGATGATTCTGGAGGTCAGTCAGTACTTGGAAAACTATTTGTGGCCTAATTTTGATCCGGAGACTGCGACGTTTGAGCATGTAATGTCGATGATACTCATGGTCAATGAAAAGGTAATTTTTCTGTGAAGAAACTTTCTTAAATTCGCGAACTGTTATTCTGAGTATTTCATCGTCAAAGCATTCTCGTTATGTTAGAATGGGAAAGATATTAAGAATGTCACTGGAAATGTAAAGCTGTTGCATGCTAATTCGAAATGACTTGATGTTGCAATGAGCTTCGGGCGATAATTCATGGTTTCTGGAAGAATGTTCTGGAAGAAGTTCTTGTTTCCAAGTAGACTTCAGCTGCTCAACATGACATTCCAACCAGGGGTTTTCTTTATTGGTGATTGGGAAATTGCTAAAATGGAGTGAAACGAACTTCCACAATTTAATTCGTTTTATGGGACAACTAACAAGCTAGAAAGCTCATCTGGTCGGTGGTCACCGAAATGAAAATCATAAGAGCTCATCTAAAAAGTGTCTTACCATTCTTGTAATGTTGTTTTTAGATTGTTATTTATTGAAACACTATATTATATTTTGTTTCTTCTAAATCAAAAAATGTCATTTTGGGGGAATGCTCATTATTTGAAACTGCTATGAGACGTAAGAATTGAGATTTGTTCTTGTAGTTTCGAGAGAACGTAGCAGCTTGGGTCTGTTTTTATGATCGGAAGGATGTCTTCAAGGGGTTTCTTGAGAGGGTTCTTCGACTGAAGGAGGTTAGTTTTTTTTTGTTTGACTTGTTATGCATGCCATGGTTGTGAGACTTGTTTGAATGATTCTTTTTGCGGAAATATTATCAACCTTCATTTTATACTTTAATCTTGATTGACCATTGGGTGATTATTTATGTGTATTTATATATTTCATTGAGAGACCATTGGCATCCAGAGGAATGTATGCATGATGAGCGACACAAAAATAGAGGTTGGTCCAGAGAATGTAGCAACCAAAAAATGAAAATTATAGGAAAAAAAGAGCCCTAGTCACTTAGATTGGAAATAGAGATAATTATGAAAAGATTTAGTTACGAAGGTCCAAATAGATTGGGGTTTTCTTTCTCATCTTTGGAGGGGCTCAAAATCCTGAAGAAAGTCCACTTCTTTACTTAACTCATAGTCTAGGGAAGTTCTAACACCGCTAATGTCTTGTAGCGAAAGAGTCTCCATGCTTGTTCTTGGCCTGAATTGGTGTCTCTTATCTGGCTTCAAAGCAGGAGATTTCAATTATTTTTCGCAATTGTGCCTCTACTTCCCAAATATGGGTTGCATGGGGCAGAACTTCAATATGTTATAAATAGGAAAAGCTGTCGATTTACTTTATGCCGATGATTGGGCATTCAGCTTTTTTGTATTTTAGAGGTTCTGCTTAAATCATTTCTCCTCCTTATTGTAAGTTTTTGAAGTTTTACTTTTTACGTCATCATATGGATGTCTTTCTTGTATGGTGTAGGCCATAAAGTGCTTCATTTTTTTTGTTATTTTAGACCTTAATTTATCAGCTTTTTATCTGGAACTATAATTACTTCTATTTATGATGTAGGGAAGAGAAATAAGCATTGCAGAGAAGACAAATTATCTTGTTTTCATGATTAATGCCTTTCAGGTATTTGACACGTTGATTGTAATTTAGTTGTTCAACAATACCTTCTGGATTTTTATGTGTGTGTGTGTGTGCGTGTGTGGGGTAGGAAATCATCGCAGAAAAGGAGGATAGTTAAGTTATGAACTCATACATGACCAAGGGAGGCCTCTACGAATTAGCCCAATGTTCATTGATGTTAAAACGCATAAATAAATTAGAAAAGAAACACAAACAATCTAAGAAATGATCCGCTCCCAAACTTTCTGGAAGCGTCTTCAACTTTCTTTGAGAATATGGTGGTTTCTTCCTTCCCCAGCTACCAAAGGTTATCTTTCATTGCAGTACCCAAATAACATCTTCGTGATGCAAAGGATGACCATATAACTTATAAGAACTGCTCAATTTTATCCAAGTCAACTGAATTTGGACTTAATCTGTCGCATTTACCAATTACAACTCATAATGCAAGAGTTTATATAAAGAAGTCGATCTAAGGAGTTTTCCCCTCCCAATTTCTTTGGAAGATTAGGGCTCGTCTGGGAATTCAATACAAACAACTTGTTTTTAGAACATAGTCAGTGAAAAACATGTTTGTCATCAAACCTCCTTTACTAAAAACATGTTTGTCATCAAACCTCTACTATGAATCACTGCACTCAAATGATCAGGCATTCACAATATTATTGTACCTTTAATGGAATTGAATACGCTAGTAGAAGTAAATAAATTTTCTAGGACTGGTGACTGTTTCTGCCAATATCTGCCTGTATTGTTCTTCTTTTATTGCTTATGGTTTTTAAAAACTCACTTCGGCAGAGCTTGGAGGATGAGATTGTCAGTGAGACTGTATTGAGAATAGCAGGTCTGCAGTCTTGGCACAGTTTATCTTATGGTCGTTTACAGGTATGACGTGTGTTCCGCTGCTGATATTCTTTTACCATTGGAATGCAACTACATTTTTCTTTTTCATTCATCTGCAGATGGAGCTTTGTCTTAATACTAATATAATAAAGAAATGGAAAAGGATGATAAAGAGAGAGGCTAAAGAGTTTATTAAACGAGGGGAGGTTTATGATCCATTGTCGACTCTTGAAGCAAAGTTCTTAAGAAACCTCATTGAAGAGTTCCTGGAGGTTGCCTGTCTTTCTGACTAAGATTATTTTTGTTATTCTCATGCACAAATTTGACTTTTATTTTTTTTGTTCTTCATCTTACATCTGGCGACCAGGTTTTGGATAGTGAAGTCTTCCCTCAGAGTAATTCAGGTGATGAAAATGATCAGTTTGTTGATACCAATGGCTTGCTAGAGGGAGACAATGCTTGCATTTTGTATTGTGAGAGGTTCATGGAGTTTCTGATTGATCTTTTAAGTCAGCTTCCTACAAGGAGGTATGCTTAAATACTATGGCCATGATATGCATCCTTTGTTTGA